AATCTCAAGGTTACAAGTCCATCTCTCCAGAGAACTAGATTTGCCTTTGTCCAAAACATTATCAAGAAGTTTGCAACCCATTAATCTCCCTGGTCGTGGACGGATGAGGAAAATTGATCGCAGAATAGTCCGGATGTTAAGCAGCCCCAAACATGTTCCAAATCACCTGTCAGCGCGAACACATTTAAATGGAAACGCACAGGAGACCCAGGGAGGACCCCACTGCTGATAAAATCAAGCAAAACGCTAGACCAAGATAGAGCTTTTCGTAAAGCATTCAGACTGCTTGTTTTGGGGTTGTTTTGCTGCCTCTGGCACTGGGTGCCTTGACTGTGTGCAAGGCATCATGAAATCTGAGGATTACCAAAGGATTTTGGGTCGCACTGTAAAAGCTGGGTTTGCGTCCAAGATATCCTGGGTCTTCCAGCAGGACAATGACCCCAAACATACGTCAAAAAGCACTCAGAAATGGATGGCACGCTGGAGAGTTCTGAAGTGGCCACAATGAGTAGATCTAAATCCCATTGAAACCTGTGGAAGCTTAGCTGTCTACAAACTGCTTCTACAAACTTTTGTTTGTGAAAGAATGGGTCACTCTCAGGAGCTCAGTGAATTCAAGCATGGCAGATTGCCACCTGTGCATTAAGTCCATCCGTGAAATTTCCTTGCTACTAAATATAGTATATATATACATACATACATAAATCATAACATATAATATAATATAATATATATATATTTTATATACACATATACACACAGTATATATATATCTTCCATGCTAATCCCCCCTCAGGTGTTCTTTTTTTGTCCTCGCTCACCTCAGACACTCATTTAGAAGAGACACAAGTTGTGAAAGTGTGACCTCTGCCCAGCATCAGCATTAAGTCCATTTCCTGGTATATATATATGGGAGACCCCCCTGTTTAGGTCATTGCAAGGCTCCTATAGACCCCCTGTTTAGGTGCAAGGCTCCTATATGGTGGGTGCCTGAGTGCTCAGGCAAAAGGGCTGTTAGCAGCATAAACTGCTCCAGATTGTGACTGGCAGGTGTTGAGGTGATTACCTTTCTCCCTCTTCTTTCTATTTCATCCATTATGGCTGGACTGTCTGGGGCTTGCTGTCCTCCTTCTCACTCGTGGCTCACAGGGGAGGGAAAATTGCTAACCAGAGCCCTCTGGCAGCGTCAAATCAGTTGGAACTTACGGTGATGGTGGAGGCTCTTCAAACTTTCCGCCTGCTGCTTCAAGGAAGAGCAGTGAAGATTTTCTCAGACAACAAAACAGCAGTAGCCTATGAGGCCCGTCAAGGGGGCACAAACAGCTTGAACCTACTGAGGATCACAGCTCCAATTTTTCCCTGTGCAAAACATCATCTTACATCCATAACAGCGGCATATCTTCCCGGGTCCCAGAATACCATACCAGATTCTCTAAGTTGGAAATTCTTCAACCACAACGAGTGGTCGCTCAGTCTGAGTTATCTGCAGCCAATCTTCAGCCAATGGGGGATACCAGTGATAAAGTTGATGGCCTCAGCTGTAAACAACAGGCTTCCTCGATACTTCTTGGAGATCCGCAAGATCTGAGCCAGGATGTCCTTTCAAACCCCTGAAGCTTTTGTCTAGTGTACTTATTCCTTCCCATCTCTCTAATTCTTCGGGTGTTACTGGAGAAGGTCCAGGCAATAGTAATTCTTCCATTTCGGCCAAGAAGGCCCTGGTTACCTTTAGTATGGAGAATGAGGCTAGAAGATCCAATTCCCCTACCACATCAGGCAGATTTGTTGATGCAGAATGGGAAAAGACACCCATACATCAGGAGACTCAATCTAATGGCTTGGAGATTGAAAGGAGACGGTTGAAAGAAATGTGTATTTCAGACAGAGTCATTGACACCTTGTTACGCTCGAGGAAACAGTCTACAAATTCCAGATACCAGCGTGTTTGGGGTGCATTTCGTGAATTTGCCTTGACGAATGGCTGGGATCCTATCTCTCTATCAATCTCCAATGTGTTGGACTTCTTCCAAAAGGGCCTGGATAAGGGTCTGGCATATAATTCCTTGAAAGTCCAAGTATCGGCCTTAGCAGCTCTGACCCAAAAAAGATGGGCATTACATTCTTTGGTGATTTGCTTTTTGAAGGCCGCAATGAGAATCCATCCTCCAGTGAAGACCTACTTCCCAAAGTAGGATTTTACCCTGGTCTTTAAAGCTTTATTGGGATCTCCTTTTGACCCTCCATCGGCCTGTTCAATGTATTATCTTACTTTAAGAATGATTTTCCTAATAGCTGTTTCCTCAGCAAGAAGAGTCTCGGAGTTGTGTGCCTTCTCGGTGAAGGAATTGTACTGCTTGGTCTTTCCAGAGAGAGTGGTTCTCAGGCCAGTACCTTCTTTTCTTCCCATAGTGTCCACGTCTTTCCACTTGAATTGCGAGTCTGTATTTACATCCTTTATTCCTGAGGAAACAGAAGAATGGAAAAAGCTGGATCTAGTTTCATCTCTTACAGTCTACCTAGAGCACACCAAACATGTCAGAAAAGTGAATAATTTCATTGTCTACCCTTCAAGCCCAAGAAGAGGGCAGGCTATGCCTCCTAGGGTTCTCTCAGCCTACATCGTTAGGACTATACAATCGGCTTATAACCTTTCTCCTCCAGAAGAAGTAAGAGCTCATTCAACCAGGGGCATGGCAGCGTCATGGGTTTCTTATTCAAAGGTCTCGGCAGAGGTTTGCTAGGCAGCTAGTTGGAGCACTACGAATACTTTCATGTGCCATTACAGGATGGATGTATCTTTGAGGGATTCTGATGCTTTGGGCTGCAGTTATTTCTTCAGTTGTGAACCATTAAATGTCTGTGTGTTTAGCAGTACTTTTCTGGTCCCAGTCTCATTTTTTTTGTTGTTTTCCCTCCCATCTGGGCCTTGCCATTGCTAGTTACGTCCTATAGTAGGCTGATGTGAGGAGGTCCAGGAATACGGAAAATTGTTATCATACTTACCATAATTTTCCTTTCCTGGACCCTGCTTGTGATGGAACACCTGAAGGGGGGATTAGTTAAGAATTATGGGCAAGTTATGGGTTGTCCTGAGAGGTCAGCAAGGCAGAGCTGGCCCATAGTAGACTGATGTGAGGAGGGTCTAGGAAAGGAAAATTATGGCAAGTATGATAACAATTTTCAGTTTTATATATATATATACAGTTGTGTTCAAAATAATAGCAGTCAGACATCACTAACCTGATCATTCACTGTTTTTGGTAGAAATGATATTTCTACATAGCAAATAATTTACTAGCAGGTGTAGTAGAGTAATAGAAATCCAACAGACCCAACAGTCATGACATGCATGCTGCTGATTCTGTGTAATTGAATCACTAATTGAAATGGGCATGTTCAAAATAACAGCAGTGTGGAGGTCTATTTGTTAGGTCATTCATTCTTTGAAAAACAGATGGCAATTATTGTCCTTATTTAAAGAAGGAAGGCAGCAAATGTTGTACTATGCTGGTTACAGTGCATTTCTCTCTTAAATTCTGAGGAAAATGGGTCGTTCCAGACATTTTTCAGAAGAACAGCGTACCTTGATTAAAAAGTTGATTGGAGAGGGGAAAACATATAAAGAAGTGCAGAAAATGATAGGCTGCTCAGCTAAAATGATCGCAAATGTTTTAAAATGGCAACCAAAACCTGAAAGACGTGGAAGAAAGCGAAAAACTACCATTCAAATGGATAGAAGAATAACCAAAATGGCAAGGACTCAGCTAACAATCAGCTCCAGGAAGATCAAAGAAGTTCTAAAGTTACCTATGAGTACTGTTACAATTAGAAGACGCCTATGTGAAGCCAAGCTATCTGCAAGAAGCCCCCGCAAAGTCCCACTGTTGAAAAAAAGACATGTGCTGAAGAGGTTACAATTTGCCAAAGAGCACATTGACTGGCCTAAAGAGAAATGACGCAACATTTTGTGGACTGATGAAAGTAAGATTGTTCTTTTTGGGTCTAGTGGCCGGAGACAGTTTGTCAGATGACCCCCAAACACTGAATTCAAGCCACAGTACACTGTGAAGACAGTGAAGCATGGTTGCGCAAGCATCATGATATGGGGATGTTTCTCATACTATGGTGTTGGGCCTATTTATCGTATACCAGGGATCATGGATCAGTTTGAATACAATGCAGCCGCAAGTAAACGCACATAAATGCACATAATCACAGTTAAACACAATGTACAAATGCAAGTGATCTCTGCCAGGAGTGTTGGAATTTCAAAATAAAAACAATGCATTTACAAGTGGCAGAACAACCGCCTGTGTGAGAGATGTAAACAAATCAGGGAAAGTTGTTACATTGTAACAAATGATGGTCAACAATCATCAGTGTTGATACGCACACAGAGTCAGAGAACACATCACTGGAGAGCTGGAGAAAGTACAGAGAAGGGCAACCAAACTGATAAGAGGCATGGAGGAGCTCAGCTATGAGGAAAGATTAGAGGAACTGAATTTATTCTCTCTTGAGAAGAGGAGATTAAGGGGGATATGATCAACATGTATAAATACATCAGTGGTTCATATAGTGAACTCGGTGTAGAGCTATTCACCCTGAGGGCATCACAGAGGACAAGGGGCACTCTTAACCTCTGGAGGAAAAGAGATTTAATCTCCAAACATGGAAAGGTTTCTTCACAGTGAGAGCTGTGAAAATGTGGAATAGACTCCCTCAAGTTTGTTCTGGCCAGCTTAGTGGATTGCTTTAACTAGCTGCCGACCGCAGATAGCCGAATGACGGCTGCACTGCTGCCGGCCAGTTCTGGGTGGACGTCATATAACGTCCTCCCAGAACGCACTCTCCTGCGCGCCCCAGGGGGCGCGCACCCGGCGCGCAGGAGAGCGCCGGGTACGGACACAGCTGATCACGTGATGTGGTAAAAGGTCAATCACAGCGGCCTTTTACCACGTGATCAGCGGTGTCCAATGACGCGCTGATCAGAGGAAAATGCAAGTGCCGGTTCTCGGCTGCACTTTCCTCACGCTGTCAGATCGTGAGGAAAGTACTGCAGAGAACCGGCAGTTGTCAGAGCAAAGATCGGCACCGATCATCAGGGCACTGATGATCAGTGCCCTGATGATCGGTGCCCAGCAGTGCCACCCGCAAGCTCCGCCCATCTCTGCCCAGCAGTGCGCCCACTAGCTCCGCCCACCTGTGCCCAGCAGTGCCCCCCCACCTGTGCCCAGCAGTGCACCCACCTGTGCCACTCTGCAGTGTCACACACCTGTGCCCAGAAGTGCCACCCACCTGTGCCCAGCAGTGCCACCCACCTGTGCCCACCCACCTGTGCCCACCCACCAGTGCCACCCACCAGTGCTGCCAGTCAGTGCCACCAGTCAGTGCCCAGGGGTTGTGCCAGTCAGTGCCGCCAGTCAGTGCCCAGCAGTGATGCCAGTCAGTGCCGTCTATCAGTACCCATCATCAGTGTCACCTATCAGTGCCACCTATCAGTGCTGCATATTAGTGCCGCCTATCCGTGACACCTCATTAGTGCTGTCTATCAGTGCCGCCTATCCGTGCCACCTCATTAGTACTGCCTATCAGTGCCCTTTAGTGCTGCCTATCAGTGCCCATCAGTGCCGCCTATCAGTGCCCATCAGTGCTGCCTCATCAACGCACATCAGTGAAGGAGAAAAATTACCTGTTTGAAAAATTTTATAATAGAAACAAAGAAACTTTTTTTTTTTTTTTTCAAATTTTTTGCACTTTTTGTATTTATAGCGCAAAAAGTAAAGCGCCCAGTGGCGATTAAATACCACCAAAAGAAAGCTCTATTTGTGACAAAAAAATGATCAAAATTTCATATGGGTACAATGTTGCATGACCACGCAATTGTCAATCAAAGTGCGGCAGTGCTGAAAGCTGAAAATTGGCCTGGTAAATAAGGGGGTATAAGTGCCTGGTAGGCAAGTGGTTAAAAAAGGCCTGGATTCTTTCTTTGATACACATAATATAACTGGATACTAACATTTATAGGTAAAGTTGATCCAGGGAATATCCAATTGCTCCTCGGAGGATCGGAAAGGAAATTTTTCCCTGCAGGAGCAAATTGGATCATGCTTTGCTGGGGGTTTTTTGCCCTCCTCTAGATCAACTGTGGGTATAAAATTATACATTTTTTTTTTTTTTTTTAATGGTTGAATTGGATGGACTTTTGTCTTTTTCCAGTCATACTAACTATGTGTGTGCTGAACATGCAGAATCCATTCACTTTGACAGCTTACATTACGTCTATTTAGTACATCCAGTAATGTCTTCTCCAGCTGTGTGTCAGTATCTCCTTATTGTAGACCATCATTTGGTACATCATAATGCTCTGTTATTTATTTACAATGGAGCAATGGAGTAACCAGTTTTGTCATGTTACAACCAAATACATAAATGTATTTTATTGGGATTTTATGTGATAAACCAACACAAAGTGGCACATAATTGTGAAGTGGAATGAAAATGATAAATGGTTTTCAAAAATTTTTTACACCGACAGCGGCACGCACCTGACACTGTCGGTGATTGCTGTGTCCTACAGACACAGCCGATCACGTGATTAGGTAAAAGGCCAATCACAGCAGCCTTTTACCATGTGTTCAGCTGCGTCCACTGACACAGCAGATCACGGAGTAAATCCAGTTTCCGGTTATCAGCAGCACTTTCCTCACGCTGTCATTGCGTGAGGAAAGTACTGCCAACAACTGGCAAATGTGACAGGGGAGATCTGCACTGATAATCAGGGCACTGATAATCAGTGCCCTGATTATCAGTGCCACCCAGCACTGCCCAGCAATGCCGCCCCGCAGTGCCCAGCAGTGTCACCTATCAGTGACCAGCAGTGTCACTCATCAGTGCTGCCCAGCAGTGCTACCCGTCATTGCCCAGCAGTACTGCCCATCAGTGTCCAGAAATGCCGCCTGTCAGTGCCCAGCAGTGCTGTCAATCAGTGCTGCCAATCAGTGCTGCCTGTCAGTGCCTCCAGTCAGTGCTATCAGTCAGTGCCGCCAGTCAGTGTCACCCATCAGTGCCGCCTATAAATGCCCATCAGTACCGCCTATCAATGCCCATCACCGCCACCTATCAGTGCCCATCATTGCTGCATATCAGTGCCTCCTCACCAATGCCCACCAGTGAAACCTCATCAGGGCCACCTCATCAGTGCTGCCTATCAGTGCAGCCTCATCAATGCACACCAATGAAGGAGAAAAATTACCTGTTTGCAAAATTTTAGAATAGAAACGATGAAAACCTTTTTTTTATACTTTTTTTGTTCTTTTTTTGTTTATAGTACAAAAAATAAAAACCCCAGTGGCGAGTAAATACCACCAAAAGAAAGCTCTATTTATGTAAAAAAATGATAAAGATTTCATATGGGTACAGTGTTGCATAACCGCAAAATTGTCATTCAAAGTGCATCAGCACTGAAAGCTGAAAATTGGCCTGGGCAGGAAGGGGGTGAAAGTGCACGGTAAGCAAGTGTTTCAAAAAAGCTCCATCATGTAAATCCATTTCCAATCGCATTGTTATTGCCCAAAAATGGCCAATTGGCCATATTTGGTTAGTGATGTCAGTGATATCCCTTCTCCTTTGTTTACATGGCTTGGAATTTCCTGCCAGCAAATAAATGGCGCCATATAACATTACTGGTTTTGTAGGATGCAGTGGGTTCCAGTACTCGCTGCTTCCTTAACAACTTGTTAAGCAATTCTGTGGGTGCTGGTACCCATTTGTGGAAGCTGTTACATATAGTAGTCAAAGAAAAAACACTACTGTATATAGCGTTCGACACCTGCTAAACAAGCAAAAAGTCTGGTGTTTGGACAAACTCTCGAACAGATAACATTTGGTCTGAATCTGTGCACAAAGGGTTATTGGGCAAGGTATGTCTTTTTGCTAATGACACAAAGATGTGTGAAAAAGGGTTGACATCCCTTGAGGTGTATGTAACATGAAACATGATTTGGCATTGTTGTAACATTGGTCAAAACAGTGCAAATTTCAGTTCAGTGTTTCAAAATGTATACAATATTTCAGATTATTGCAAAATGAGCTAACAGTGTGGTCAGGCAGGAGGAAGGAAGTCCTGATTTCCCTACATAGACCTTTAGTGAGACCTCGTTAAGAATACTGCATCCAATTCTGGGCATCTCTCTTGCAAAAAAGATTAATCGAACGAGTCCAGGGAGAAGTAACAACAATTAAGACAGGTCTAAGGAATAAGAAATATCAGGAGGAACTTCAGGAACGTAATATGTACAATCTAGAGGAAAGAAGAAAAAGGGGAGACATGACTGAAACCTTTAAATACATTGGGGGGTGTGATTAAGGTTCAGGAAGGAAGTAGGACATGGACTCAAACTAACAGGAGGAAAATTGAAAACTAAACTTAGAAAGTATTATTTTACTGAAAGAGTAGCTGATGCTTGGAATAGACTTCCAGCAAAGGTAGTGAGTCAGTCAACAATAAGTAGTTTCAAACATGCTTGGGACAAACATAGATCTATACTCAGCCAAACTAATTAAAGAAAATATAAAATTAAAAAAAAAAGAAGCATATTCGATGGACCACTTTGTCTTTATTTTGTGTTTCTAGCAGTGAGTTTTCCCACTACTATATACAGTATGACTATTTCCTTCTTCTGTCACAAATGATTGTTAAGGAAGCAACAGGTTCCAGCAATCACCACATCTTTAGGCACCAGTGACATCACCCAGATCCAATTATTTACTAGCCACTTGCCCTCCTGAGGATTTACTCCCCTTCCTGACCAGGCCTCTTTTTGCTCTTCGGTGCTTCACTATTTCAACTGATAATTGTGCGATCATGCAATGCTGTACCCAAACAAAACTTTACGTGCTTTTTTTCACACAAATAGAGCTTTCTTTTGGTGATATTTGATAACCTGTGCGCTTTTTATTTTTTGCACTATAAAAAAAAAAAAAAAAAAAATTTTTTAAGAAAAACATTATTTTTTTACTTTCAGCTATAAAAAATATATAGTAAACTCAAAGTTAGTCATACATTTAGGCCAAAATGTATTCTGCTACATGTTTTTGGTAAAACAAATCCCAATAAGTGTATATTGATTGCTTTGTGGGAAAGTTATAGCGTCTACAAACTATGGTATAGATACTGCAATTTACTCCATTTGTTTGCTATACAACGCTGCACTAGTGTAATTAAGAACTGCGCAGTCATGCAATACGGTACATATATGAAATGTACATCCTTTTTTTACAAATAGAGCTTTCTTTCAGTGGTATTTGATCATCTGTGTGCTTTTTATTTTTGGCGCTATAAACAAAAAAAGTTTTGAGAAAAAAATAATTTAAAAAAAAAAAGATATTTTCTCATTTCTGTCATAAAATATATCCAAAAAAACTAAAATTTTGTCATAAATTTAGGCCAAAATGTATTCTGCTACATGTTTTTGGTTAAAAAAAATCCCAGTAAGTGTATATTGATTGCTTTGTGTGAAAGTTATAGCGTCTACAAACTATGGTATAGATAATGGAATTTACACAGCTTTTACTTTCTGACTACCCATCACATGTCTTGAGGTGCTAAACCAATTCAATACCAGGCAATTTTACACCTTCCTGCCCAGGCCAGTTTTCAGGTTTCAGAGCTCTCACACTTTGAATGACAATTGCACGGTCATACAACATTGTACCCAAACTAAAATTTTATAATTTTATTCACACAACTAGAGCTTTCTTTTGGTGGTATTTAATCACCACTGGGGTTTTTACTTTTTGCTAAATTAACAAAAAAAGACCAAAAATTTTGAAAAAAAAAAGGGTTTTCTTTGTTTCTGTTATAAAAGTTTGCAAATAAATAATTGTTCTTCATAAATTTAGGCCGAGATGTAATCTGCTACATGTCTTTGGTGAAAATAACCCAAATTAGGATGTATTTTTTAGTTTGTAGGAAAGTTATAGAGTTCACAAACTATGGTATAGATCTGAATATTGATCAATCCTGAAGTACTGACAGCCAATCTAATTTCTTGAGGTCCAAGAATGTCAGAACAGTACAGATATCCCCCAAATGACCCCTTTTTGCAAAGTAGACAGTCCACGTACTTCATAGGAGGCATGGTGAGTTTTTTTGAAGTTGTATTTTTTTTGTCATAATTTTTCGGAAAATGAAAAAATGAAAAAAATTAGTTTCACTTTTTTTTTTTTTTACATACTGTCACCAGTGCAGTACAGCGTCATCACATAACTGGCATGGCGGTGATCAGGGACACTGACTGGAGACAGTATGAAAAAAATATATATATATATATTTTTTTATTATTATTATTTATTTTTATTTTTTTTTAAGATTTGTTTTTAATATTTCACTATGACCAAAGTAGTTCAATGTTACCATAGTAACATTGTACTACTTTGGGGAAGTGATCAGTATTTTTTTTT